GGAATCGACCGCTTCGCTTCTTTTCTTAGATGTCCTTCTAAACATGAGATCTGACGGTAGCATCCGAAGAAGCGTCTACCGGAAGAAAACTTGGTATGGATAATAACGAACTTCGCTCGTTTCGTACCTCTCCTACTTTATTTAAAATTAATTTTCGAAAAGGAAACAGACACTTTTTTGAAAACTGTGCTGCAATTTGTGCACTGCGTAGGCGATAACAAAATCGATTACAATGTGTCTACCGTCCAACATTAACTTTCATTCATGGCCACCCTAGTGTTTCGACGACATTGAAGATTAGGCCAAACATGCGCATCTGTTAAAGCTTGATTTCACTTTTCTGTGGCTCACATCTTATTCACAGAATTCGATACTACAATAAATTCTCTGAAATACAGTTATATTCACTGGATATAACTTCTATGGTGAAAAGTCCTCTGCCAGCTAAGTGATTTTTGGGCATGTTATTGCAAGTGTAGTCTTATTGGTCTATTCGGCCCAGCGGTGCCAATGCAACTGTAGAGAAATGCATGGTTTTCCGCACACGGAAAATATACAGCTTGTAGTTTTGAAACCCTGAATGCAAGTGTAACAGCAGGTCAAGTTCAAAATTATTCGGCGATTAGAAAAGTTTTTCAAAACCGAACTATACTCTTCTTTTGAGTATGACATTGGAAGAAGACATGATTTTCTACCGAATAAGTACAAGAATGAGTATTTTTATGCATGTTTTCCATGAGATATAATTAAATTTTCAAGGGCATCGAAAATCACTGAGAATATTGCATGCTACTTAAGTAGTCATTTTTTGCAGCGTATAGAACTTGCTTGCAGCCGAAAATAAGTTCTTTCGAAAGCCGACACCCTGTGGTAACTGGATGATTATAGATTTATGCTGCATCATGGTTAATTTTACCACACTACTTAATTTATCTTTTCGAAACGAGAACGTATTTCGAAATTTTGGTTGACATTTCATGAGTTAGCACATCTACTGTATGAGGTCCATTTGTCATAAGTGGGCGATGATGGACCCAACAAACCGGTGACTGAATAAAAAAAGCTCATGTGCCATAATGGGTCTTTATGTCAGTCACGAGACTGCTCAGCCTTCATGTACGCGAAGACAATTGCGAAATTGAAGAAGATGACACGATCGCTGGGACAAGAGCTTAATTAGCCTAAAGTTTCGGATTCCTACTCGAACCCATCATCAGAGACAAAAGCAGAAACGAGTGGTTCATGCAAAAGAATACCGAACTATAATACCTCCTACGGGTCTTCAAAGCAAATAACTACCAGCGCAACTTCGTCAACCGGTGCATACGCAAAAGGGACGAGAGGCCTAACCGCACGGACACCAAATCTTGGCGAGCGGTTCTATATGCCAAGAACGTTTCGGAAGCTGTCGGCCGCCTTCTCGCATTACTTGGGGTTGGAGTTGCACACATATCGGAGGCCACCTTCAGGCGTCAGGTAATGAAACCGAAAGACCCGCTGCCACGGCAAGAAACATCTGGAGTCGTTTATCAGATCTGGTGCAGTTGCGGACAAAGCAACTAATTCGGAGAAATTGAAAGACAGCTCCGAACGAGAAGGACCAAACACGCTGCAGCATTGCGGAGGAATAACGCCAGTTCTCAAGTTGCGGCTCATTCGACAAGATTCAACCACACATTCAAATTCGACGAGGCCGAAATTCTCGTTAGAGGTGACAACCGCGTGAGCCAGGGTCTGCTTAAGTCATGGTTTACTGGCCGCCAGTCTATTACCAAGCGCAGTGATCCTCCCATTCAATACTCCGGGCTGAGACTTCGCCGAGGCGGAGTAAATAGCTACGCGGGTAACGCACATGTGAACACTTTTCCCAACATCAGGGTTGGTGGATCAGATGGTAGAGCAATCATCGCACCAACATCTTACGCACGTGATGAGATTGCAGCAATTAACAACGTGAATGGCGGCCATCACACCACGTGCAACGATCCCTGAGGAAGGTGTGTCGAAAGTTGTGTGGTCGACAAGATAAAGATTCCCAATCAAAAGTCAGGGAAGACGGTTTGAGTTGGACAACCTTTACTGCCTGAGAAAGTGCGTACACGAGGACTCTGTAGGCAGTTGCCGCGTGCGCGCGCCAAGCAAGCTGTTGTCTGTGTCCGCCTTCGAGGTGTTGTGTCCTCGTGTGTGTGCGCCCTTCGTTGTCTCAACCTCGCCAGCCAATCAGAGTGGGGACATCGTTGATTGGCTTCGAGCACTCGCGCGTCCCAGCAGCATCTCGACACGTAGTGTGTTAGGCGGACAGGACGGCAGCGTGACAAAGGCGGAGGGTGAGGAGACGCGAACTGCTACAGTACCCCCCGGCTAGACCGATGGTGGCGCGTAGCGATACCGAAGGAACTGTTGATGTCTAAAAAACATGAGTAACGAAACGGTCAGGAAAGTGATCATGGCGTCCACTTCGGGTGGTATATGCAGGGGGCACAGGATAAGAGTGAGTATGGCTCGCGGTCACAGTGTCGTTTTTTGATGAAGGGGTAGTTGCAGTTGGGAGTTGTGGACATGAGGGCAGAGGAAGTATACGGGACGGAGGGATAGAGGGTCGGGGAGGCGGAGCAGGGGGTAGGGGACCACAGAGCACATCCGGAGGAGTGTCTGGGACGGCAGCTTTGAGACGGTCCACGCTCACGACCTCCTCGCGAGTGCCGCGTTGGATGCGGAAGTTCTTCGTCCCACGAGAGATAACTCGGAAGGGGCCATCGTAGGGTGGTTCCAGGGGCCGGCGGACTCGATCACATCGAAGATAGACGTGAGAGCATGTCGCCAAATCTTTCTCGAGTTAAGATTTGGAGACGGATGGCCTAGGTGGAACCGGAGAAAGTGTCCGCAGGAATTGCCGGAGGCGATGCAGGAGGTTGGTGGGATCCTCAACTGCAACTCGCGGGGTTGGCGAGATCATCTGACCGGGAAGTCGGACGGTTGCACCGAACACGAGTTCAGCGGCAGAACAATCAAGGTCCGACTTGAGGGAGGAGCGAATGCCCAAGAAGACTAGGGGGAGGTGGTCTGTCCAATTCTCCGGATCGTCTGCGGTGGGTAGGGAGGCCTTCAGCTGACGGTGAAACCGCTCGACCATCCCGTTGGCTGCCGGATGATAGGCTGTAGTGCGGATGCGAGTACAGCCTAAAAAGGAGAGTAAAGACTGGAAGAGGTGAGATTCAAATTGGGCACCACGGTCAGTCGTGATAATGGAGGGAGCACCGAAAATGGCAACCCAACGACTGAGGAAAGCCTTGACGACCGTTGGAGCTGCGACATCAGACAGTGGAATAGCTTCCGGCCACCGGGTGAATCGATCCACGCAGGTAAGGAGATAGGAGCAGCCATTGGACAGAGGCAGGGGGCCTACGATGTCCAGGTGGATATGACTGAATCGTGCGTCCGGAGTAGGGAAGGTGCCAATGGGAGTTTTGTTGTGCCGTCGGACCTTATTCCGTTGACAGCCGAGACACGCCCGTGTCCATGCTTTCAGGTAATTGTGCATTCCAGGCCAGATGAAGCGGTCGGAAACCAGCTTGTCGGTTGCTCGACTCACAGGGTGAGAGAGATTGTGCAGGGAAGATAAAACTTTTCGGCGGAGAGATGGTGGCAACAATGGACGATGAGATGGGGTGGATACGTCGCATAGAATACTGCCGTTGCCAGTTGTCAGTGGTAGCCCCTGAAGATGGAGTCCGGAAACATCCTCATCACAGGGTGGACCGACACGGCGTTGTTCAGCGGCCATCTCAGCGAGGTCTATCCCGGGTGAAAGCTGAAGATGAGCAATAGAGGGCCTTGAGAGTGCGTCAGCCACCTCATTCCGTGACCCGTCAATATGGCGGATGTCTGAAGTGAACTGCGAAATGTAGTCCAGGTGACGGATCTCCCGGGGCTTAGCTTGTCAGAGTGGGAATGTATTGCAAACGTGAGTGGCTTATGATCAGTGAAAATTGTGAACTCTCGACCTTCGAGTAAATGCCGGAAGTGCCTTACGGCAAGATAAGCGGCGAGAAGTTCACGTCCGAATGTGTTGTAGCGGGTTTCGGATTTGGATAGTTTCTTGGAGAAGAAAGCCAAAGGCACGGTAGAATCCGGCAGACTTTGTTGAAGAACCGCGCCAACAGCAACATTGGAGGCATCGACCATCAAAGATATGGATGCATCAGCGTGAAAGTGAGTCAGGATGGTGGCGTCAGCCAGAAGGGCTTTTACCTGCTCAAATGACGTGAGTGCTGCTGGTGTAAGTTCAAAGGTGCGTTTAGAACCTGAGAGGAGATTGGTCAGAGGTAGGATGGTGTCGGCACAGTTTGCGAGAAACCGGCGATAAAAGTTCACCATACCAAGAAACCGTTGCAACTGACGCTTCGAGGTAGGGGGTGGAAAGTCCCGAATGGCGGCAAACTTTGAGGGAGGAGGCCGAATACCGTGGGAGTCGACCAGATGACCGAGAAATTCTAGGGAGGGCACACCGAAGACGCACTTTGACGTGTTGAGAACAACGCCAAATTGTTGAAGGCGGTCAAACACCGTTGTAAGATGTTCCATGTGTTCTTCAGTGGTAGAGCTGGCTATCAGAAGGTCGTCGATATAGGCGTAGACAAATGGTAAGCCGCGAAGCACTCTGTCTACAAACCTTTGGAAGGTCTGGGAGGCGTTGCGAAGTCCAAACGGCATGCGCAGGAACTCAAAGAGGTCAAAGGGTGTGGTAACGGCCGTCTTCGAAACGTCCTCCGGGGCTATGGGAATTCGGTGGAAAGCACGGACCAGATCAATCTTTGAGAATACAGACTTGCCGAATAGGGCACCGGCAAAATCCTGAAGATGTGGGACAGGGTAACGGTCCGGGACGGTAACGTTGTTCAGGGCCCTGTAGTCACCGCAGGGGCGCCAGTCACCAGTGGCGGCCTTTGGAACCATGTGGAGGGGTGAGGCCCATGGGCTTTCAGACGGACGGATGATGCCCATTTGAAGCAAGACCTGTCGGCGCGAGACGGCGGGGGTGAGAAAACACGGGAGGGCCTGTGGTCCGAATGTGGTGAAAAACGTCATGTGGTGGAATAGAAACGTTGAAGTTGGGACGAGTGAGGCCGTGGTATTTGGCGAGGAGTTGTCGAAATGGATTCTCGGGTTTAGGGTCCAAGACGGCAAGATGACGGGAGGTGTCAGAGGAAGAGATACCCCGGACAGTTAGGTTGGTAGTCTTGTCGTGTAGACTTGACTGACGGCATTCGACCAGAAGATCGAAAGCGGCGAGGAAATCTGCACCGAGAATTGCACAGGGGATGTTAGCAACGACGAAGACCCAAGGGAAGAGACGTCGGAGACCGATGTCCAGAGAGAGGGAGCAGGTGCCAAATGTGGTCATGGGCGATGTGTTGACGGCCTGTAGGAAAAGACCGGGATTGGGGCACCGACGATCAGCTGGTGTGGGTGGAATGACACTTAGCTGGGCACCAGTGTCAACCAAGAAACGTCTGCCACTCCGGGTGTCGCGGACGTAAAATGTGCGACCAGGGTTAGAGCTTTCGGGAAGTTTGGCTGCACAGACCTTTGGGTTGACCGATTTTACCCGTTTTTTTTGCTTGAAAGTGAAGGAGCAAGGAGAGACGCAGCGACGGGCTTTAGCACCGAAAGTAGTGTGGTACCAGCAGGTGGCAGCTGCGTTTGGACTGGCTGAATGAGAAGACTGGACATGTGGGGTGGGCAGCTGCGGTTGGCTCCGAGATGAGGCAGAAACTGTGGGCTTCTGGAGAGCGGCTATATCATCGGCCAGTTTGCTGAGCTCAATCTCTAACTGCGAAATGGGAGACGCAGGAGGAGTTGAGGGAGTTGAGAGTGCTGAAATAGACGGCTTGGAAAAACCGTGCATCTCCATAAGCCGATCAGCCATCTGATTAAGTTGCGTGGCCGAAAGAATGCCCGAGGCGGGTGCCAAAATATGCTGCACCTCCGGTGTAAAGTTGTCCATGATCAACGCCTGACTTTGTCGTAGATTAGGAAAAACGGAGATTGCTGTTCGTAAGGGGTCACCAATTGTCGAAAGTTGTGTGGTCGACAAGATAAAGATTCAGCAAATATTCCCATGTTACAATTGAAAAGTCAAATTGGCGAACACGTGTTTTCAGTAACTCTTCATCAGGCCAAAACGGTTACAATGAAGTTTAAGTTATGCGAATTACATGACTTAAAAATGATTCGGGGACAATTAACATCGATCGTTCCCACGCCACTCGCATGACGAGGCGTGCTATGGCGTGGTCGGCGTGTCGTGGTCATTGGATTCAGGGGGCGAGGAAGAGGGGGGGCATAGGCTGTGAGTACGTCGGGTACCTTGTGCACGCACACACCCTGGCATCAGGAGGTTGGGGCGACGTTGGGGTCGGCGTCGGCCACGGAAGACAGAGCGCCTGTGTCAGAATCTTCTGACAGCATAGCACTGGGTTGGCTAGCCGTATAGCCACTGCCTCAGTTGTAGCTAGCACCCGTTGGCGTAGGCCTTTGGAGAAGCCTGCTGGTGTCCGGTAGACAATCTGAAAGGCTTCTTTGGCATCGACTCGGTGATTCGTATCGACAAGATGTGCGAGAATAGAACTCGAGATCGATTTCTTCTCACCTTTGCCTAGCCAGGCCGGTATGTGTTCACGTACTCTCTTTTCCAAGCGCCTCATTGTACCGCCGATGTATCCCGCTCCACAGGAGCAAGTGAATGAATAAATACACATTGATGTGGCCTGCAACGGGAGTCGGTCTTTACCGCCCAAGCGTAGGAGGGGGGAGTTAGTGAAACACACACGTAAGTTCGCCGCGGGGAAAGCGTTAGTGATCGCTGTCTTCAGACGTCTTTTTACCAGTTCACTTGCTGCGTCCCCTTGAAAAGGCAATCTTATAAATAAGTCCTTCTTTTCTGCAGTTGCCATGGCAGGTTTTGCAGTGCGCTCCCCTATATTTCGAAGGATAAATCTTTCTGGGTATCCGTTTTCGTGGAGTGTATCCCGCAGCTGCTTGAGTTCTGCCTCCACAGTCTCAGAAGAGCAGATACGTCGCACTCTAGCTGCCAATCCCTGGACTAGATTTCGTTTGATGTTGAGGGGAACAAAACTGTGAAAGTTAATGTATTGTCCCGTCCAGGTTTTCTTTCGGAATACTCTACGTTGGATAGAACCATCCTCTTGTCTGTGCAGAAGAACGTCGAGGAACGCGATTTCATTGTTTGCCTCAAACTCTGCAGAGAACGTTAGCGAGGGGTGTGAATTGTTGAATTTTTGAATCAGGACGTCTGTGTCGGTGGTAACATCCGTCAGGCAGAAAATATCGTCCACGTACCGACCGTAGAAGCTGAGGTAATTAATGGTGTCCTGTAAACTTGTCATCTCGACTTTGCCCATGAAGACATTTGTGAGGAATGGGCCGAGCGGTGAGCCCATCGCTACGCCGTCTATTTGCCTGTACAGTTGACCACTGCAGAGAAACTGGACGTTTTGCGTGCACCGTGTCAGAAGCTCTTTTAGCGTCTCCAACGGCATGCCTAACGGGTAGTTCGTGTCGCGGATAACGTCACAAAGGTAGTTTATTGGACCGGTGCCAAATAAGCGGCCACAGGTCTTCCATTACGGTTACCTTACGTACTATTCTTTGTTCAGTAGGTGTGCTTGTGGTATTTTATTTGCCGCCGCGGCTTCCCCAATCGTCCATGGTTGGCTCTACACAATCGTCAGCTCCCGCTATGACCGGCCAGTAACGGCTACCGGCACTACAGCTAGGCATGGAGAGTAAGTGGACGAAGTACAGAGTCATACCTTCCAGTCTTCCGTCCGTGCCTTTCTTGGTTGGCTTCACCAGTCGTCCATGGTTGGCTCTACACAATCGACAGCTTCCTCTATAACCGACCAGTAACGGCAACAGGCACTACAGCTAGGCATGGAGAGTACGTGGACGAAGTACAGAGTCATATCTTCCAGTCTTCCGTCCGCGCCTTCCTTGGTTGGCCTCCCCAATCGCCCATGGTTGGCTCTACACAATCGTCGGCTCCCTATATGACCGGCCAGTAACGGCTATCGGCACTACAGCTAGGCATGGAGAGTACGTGGACGAAGTACAGAGTCAGATCCTCCAGTCTTCCGTCCGTGCCTTTCTTGGTTGGCTTCCCCAACCGTCCATGGTTGGCTCTACACAAGCGACAGCTCCCTCTATGACCGGCCAGTAACGGCTATCGGCACTACAGGTAGGCATGGAGAGTAAGTGGACGAAGTACAGAGTCATATCTTCCAGTCTTCCAACCGTGCCTTTCTTGGTTGGCTTCACCAGTCGTCCATGGTTGGCTCTCCACAATCGACAGCTCCCTCTATGACCGGCCATTAACGGCTACCGGCACTACAGCTAGGCATGGAGAGTAAGTGGACGAAGTACAGAGTCATACCTTCCAGGCTTCCGTCCGCGCCTTCGCTGGTTGGCTTCTCCATTCGTCGATAGTTGGAACTCCTCCATCGACATCTTTATCTTTGACCGGCCAGTAACTGCCACAGGCACTACAGCTAGGCAGGGAGGGTAAGTGGACGAAGTACAGAGTCATACCTTCCAGTCTTCTGTCCGCGCCTTCCTTAGATGCCTTCCCCAATCCTCCATGGTTGGCTCTCCACAAGCGACAGCTCCCTCTATGACCGACCAGTAACGGCAACAGGCACTACAGGTAGGCATGGAGAGTAAGTGGACGAAGTACAGAGTCATACCTTCCAGTCTTCCGTCCGTGCCTTTCTTGGTTGTCTTCCCCAACCGTCCATGTTTGGCTCTCCACAATCGACAGCTCCCTCTATGACCGGCCATTAACGGTTATCGGCACTACCGCTAGGCATGGAGGGTAAGTGGACGAAGTACAGAGTCATACCTACCAGTCTTCCGTCCGCGCCTTCCTTCGTTCGTTTCCCGAATTGTCCATGGTTGGCTCTCCACAATCGACAGCTCCCTCTATGACCGGCCATTAACGGCTACCGGCACTACAGCTAGGCATGGAGGGTAAGTGGACGAAGTACAGAGTCATACCTTCCAGCCTTCCGTCTGCGTCTTCGTTGGTCAGCATCTCCATTCGTCGATCGTTGGCCCTCCTCAATCGCCATGCCCCTCTTTTACCGTCCGGTTATACCAACATTCACTGTCGGTAGGCTAGGAGTGCAAATGGAGGAAGTTACGATGCTTACTTTCACGTCTTTCGTCGGCGCCTTCGTTCGTTATCTTGCCCCATCGCCGTTCGGTTGGGCCTTCTCGCTCACCAGCTCTACCATCATCTGCAGGTAATAATCACAATGACTGCCGCTAGGCAGAGAGAGCAAATGCAGTACGTACATATGCTTACCTTCACGATATCCGTCTGCTAATTCGTCGGATGGTGGGGGATATGTAGAAGTTGACAACCGCTGTATTGTAAACTTCCACAGTTCTTCATCTAGATCCTCACCGACTGCTGGTGGACGTAGGTGCCGTCCTCAGCGGGTTATACCGACCGCCGCGGATGAAATACAAGCTCTCCTTCAGTCAGCAGGCGTCATTCAGTATCTGCAGCGGTCGACGTTGCTGGTCACCACCGTAGCATGCCGATGTCAGCGTACTGTGCAGATGCAACTGTTGCCGCACATACGGACGGTTATGCATTCCATTGTGGACACTGCAGGCGGACGCAATGCATGTTGACGCAGTCATTGTTCGTTGGCAGCAAGCTCAGTCTACAACCACTGCTACGTATATGTTACAAGTTCATCGACAGTGTGCGCGGCAAGCGCTGTGCAGCAAGTGTACGTGTCAGTACAAATACTGCCATGGAATGGAAGTGCAGATAGACGAGACGCTCAGCAGTCAACGCAAGTACAACGGGGAACGACCGCGGTGCCAGTTGTGGGTCGTCGGTATGTACGATACTCGCAGCGAAA